CAGAAGGATGGGAAATCAGAGGTAGAGTCATTGTAACAAAATATACAAGGAAACATTGTCAAAAGACTGTGGGAGGATCTGAGCTTGGTAAAGTGGGAGGATCTGGAGCTCCAGGCCAGCCTGAGCTACAGAGCAAGATCCTGTATCAAAAATCAATCAGTGATGATCTCATCACAAGCAGAGACTGCATCAGATATGGAGTGTGGCTCCATGGTAGAGAGATTTCATGGCATGCCAGAGACCCTAGATTCAACTTCTAGCACTGCCCAGGAGCTGTCCTGTTACACACCATTATTTCCACCAGGGGGCAGCACTTCACTAACAGGCGCTGGCGTTCTTTCCTCATCCCATGCGCTTCTCCCTTTGTACATCACAGTTAGAGAACTGGCAGAGGCCGGTTTCATGCAGGTAGTTGCTGCTTGTTTTAGTTTGTTTTGTTTTTGAGGACACAGATAGTATTTGTCCGTAGTATTCCATAGTCTCCTGAAAACGAAACCTGAGCTCTGGTTCCATGTAGATCTTCCATTTGTCTTTCTAGTGACAAGCCTCTGTTGGTTACCGCCCTCGGGCTGGCTCAAAATTTGAGATTTTGGGTGAGTCCGATCAGTGCCACTCACTGGTTAAGAGACTGGCTGTTTAGCCTCACAACATCTCACTTCTCATCTGTAGAGCGAGGGGTGTTGTGGCACTCCGTGCAGGATGTGATGAGTGTCAGAGACCCTGCCACACTGTGCATAAAGCCAATGTTAGTTCTTAGGGAGCAGCTGGCTTATAAACTCTATTGCTCTCCAGGCTTCTCCCGTTCTATGGGCAAGAAGAAACCTCACTCAGGTTTATTTTAGTGTTCATTATTATAACCATATAGGAAGATAAAACAATTGATGGTGGTTATCTCTAGTGACAGGATGAGAAGTGAGTTTTACATTTCTCAGGCTTCCCAAATTCTCTTCTGCATGTGTTGTTTTGTTTTGTGATGCTGGAGACTGGGCCTCAGGAGCACTGGTCAGGTGCTCCAGCAATGTCCCACACTGACAGCCACTAAGTATTGTTAAATAAGCACAAAGAAGCAATGGAAATAGTGACGGTTTCTTGATCTTAGCTCTCAACAATCCTCCTCAATATCAAAACGCTTTCACCCTTGTTCAGGAGCATCCGAGGCCGAGCTATAGCCCATCTACTTGGGGATCGTTAACATTAAGCATGCCACTTTATATGTAACGTAGCAGATAGTTGGTATTCATTTCCTACAGAGACCCACAAAGGTAGCTGCTTCGATTACAGATCTGAGTATTTCCTCTAAGTTTTCTCTTTCTTCACCCACCTCTAAGTAGTGATCGTGTTAACAAGCTAACTGAATCCTCTCTCTGCTGAACTCCCCCAGCTGGTTTTGGGCAGGTTTCAGAAAGCCCTTCACCAGAGTGCCCAGAACTCCTGACAGGAAGAGTGGAGGTGCATTCTTGAGTTGGGGTAAAATCTTTAGACTGCACAAAGCTACAACAAAAGGAAAATGAAGTGCACTGTGAGTTGGCTGCACATTAATTCTCCGTGAACCCCGGGCGAGCTTTCCTGCAGTGATACGAGCAAACTTCTAACACTGCCCAGAAGCCTCATGCTTTGCCCCGGGTCTTAGGCGTTTCTTGCCTTCTGATCCTCTACTCTGTAATCTGCAGTACTCTGTCTCCTCCAGAGGCTTCTGATGATGGTGCTGGCCTATTGCTATTGTTTGGCTCCTGCAGTCATCACTTCGTTGGTGAAGCTGTCTAGACCTTTTCCATACATGATATATTTGGTATTTCTTCAGCAAAAAACAAAACCAAAATGGATGCCATCAGCCCTGACCATCTGACCTGGTTAGTTCTTTCCTCAAATACTACTATTTACTATTTTGCAGTTCCAGGGCCTCGTGGGTGCAGGCAAGCACCTTAGTACTGAGTGTCCCTGAAGAACTCTTTTTTTTTTTCCTCCCAGGGAAATCTGAATGAGAATCCAAAGATGATTGCGGCCAAGCCCCTGAGGTAGAGTCCAGGAAGTGTCTGACCTTCCCAGAGCTTAATTCGTTCTTCTCTTAACCCTGTACCATACCCTAGATTCCTCATGGCTCAAGTGGCCCAGTCATCTAGACTCCTAACTGGGTCTTCAAAGTGCCGAGGCCATGCTGGGGTCCAGAGCCCATGGGGAGGGGGACAAGGATTGCTGTGTGGTCACTGTGTGATTCAGGATATGGGGAAGTTACAGGGAGGAAGAAAAGAAGGCAGCTCGTATGTGTTTGCTCAGGGTGGGCTTCCATCCCTCAGGCTGGGACTTCAGGGAAAGGGGGGCAGAGCCAGGCTATGCCCCCTTCGCCTCTGCTCCTGAGCCCCTGAGCCCTCACAGGGATGCAGAGTTGGGCTCCTCTCAGCCAGGATGTGGTGGGATGGGGAGGGATGCTTCTGCCTGTGGCCCCTATGTCCGGACTATTCAGACTCGGGGTCTACATTTGGCAAACATACTGCTTGCTATCCCCAGGTACCCCATAACTGCTCCCCTGTCATTTAGGCTAGAGATGAACTCATGAATGAAAATCAAATTACGCACCTCTCACTCACACAGGCAGTACTATGGTTTGGATGTCCAAGACTCATCCTGAAATTGTCATTGCTACTGCTGGTATTATAACTTGAGAGTCCTGACTCTTGGGATCCTGATGAACAAACAGTAGGGAAAGTCAGAGAATAAATGGAGATTTAATGAGTGAAGGCACATTGGTTGAAACAGAAAGGGAGCTCAAGCCTATCTATCATCAAGGGGTTAGCAAGAGAAGGGAGGGGCTCGGACATTGTCCTAGCTAGTTTTATGTCAACTTGACGCAAGCTAGAGCCATCTGAGAGGGGAGAACCTCAATTGAGAAACGCCTCCACGAGATCAAGCTATGGGCAAGCTCGTGGAGCAATTTCTTAATCAATGATTGGTGGGGGAGGTTTCAGCCCACGATCGATGGTGTTCCCCCTGAGCTGGTGGTCCTGGGTTCTATAAGAAAGCAGGCCAAGCAAGCCATGAAGAGCCAGCAGTAAGCAGTAAGTAGCAATCCTTCATGACCTCTGCTTCAGTCCCGCTTCCGGGTTCTTGCCCTGGGATCCTGCCCTGACTTCCCTCGATGACTGACTGCATATGGAACTGTAAACAAAAGGACCTTTTCCTCCTCAGGTTGCTATTGGCCATGGTGTTTTATCACTGCAGTGAACATCGTAGCTAGGACAGGCACGCACGGCTGGTTTCCTTGACAGGCCAGGGTCTGGCTGGTCTATCTCAGTCTTGTTCTGCAAGCGGTTCTGAGAAGTCATCCTCCTGTTATCTCTTGAGGGAGGCAGTGAGGGCTCTATGATCTTGTTCTTGTTCCACTCACTGCCTCACCCCTGTGGGCAGGTGCTGTCACTTATAGGCGGGATAGCCTTCCCTGTGAGACTCACTGCTGCTTGGAGGTGCTTCAGTCCCCTGTCATAAAGATGTTTGTCACTCAAGCCTGTCATTCCTGGAGCCAACTGTAGAAGGGAACGAAACATTAAAGGCAAAAATAGAGGCAGAGAGGGTAAAACGGAGTAGTGAAGTCAGTGGCACCGCCACCTTCACTGTGGTGTCATCGAGAAGTGTGCATGGTGGATGGATGCATGAAGGGATGCCATTGCTGTGGGGCTGGTTTAATTATTTTGGGAGTGGCCTTCTTAAGGAGGTGAACTGTCTCACACACATGCACGTGTCTTTCCATGCAATATTATCAGGAGTAATGTAGACAGGGACCCCTATCCCAATGCTGGCCCTCAACCTCAGACATCGCGGTGTCCAGAAAGGCAATGAATACTGAATGTTGCCACTCCTTACCCATTCCCCACTCTCGGGTGGTTTGTTGCAGCAGCGAACCAATGGACGAAGACACCCGGTACCTATGAGACTCTAGCTGCCCACAGAGTGTTTCAGCTAAGTGGTTAAGGCTAGTCAGACTCACACCTAAAACCCTGTGCGTGCTTAGCCCATGCTCCAGTCCTGCCTCGGGTTTAAATGATGTAGGCGTCAAAGCGAGAAGGTTTAGTCCCAGCCTCTTCTAGTCCGATGAGTCAGAGCAGCCAAAGGAAAGTTAAACTTGGCCAAGGATCTGTCGGGCCTTGTGGCAGGTATTTGTGAGAGGCAATCCACCTCAGGCCCTGACGGTGCCTGGATGCCAGAGACGACAGGACTGTAAGGCCCCGACTGCTCCTGGCCTGGGCCGTTTGTCAGATTGTGCTTACAAGTAAACAGCTTTGATAACACCATATCCCCAATCCCAGATAACGAGCAAGCTTGTTCATTGTTTATGACTAAATGATACATTTCCCAAATAGTTATAGGGCATATGCCTATAGTCCCAGCACTTAAGAGGCAGAAGCTCGAGGCCGGCCTAGCTTATAGAATGAGTTCAAGGTCAACTTGGTGTTACCATCTGTGGGTGTTGGTCAGGTTCATTTTCTCTGTCACTGAAAGAATTCCAAAGGCAGGAGAACATCAACGGCAACAGGTAGCATCCCGAGAACCTTGGACACAGCAGATAGGAGCCAACCAGAGAAGAAGGGCTGATCAGGGGTGAGGAAACACTTGCAGTAGGGTTCAAGGAGAGAATGCCCCTCCTCCCACCACGGTAGAATCCATGACTCTACTTGAAGGCTGTGGTTTTTAAGGGTCTTTCTACTCTCACTTAGAGTTGGTCAGTTTAAACAAAGACAGTGAATCTGACAGGTCCACCACTGTGGGGTAAACATGTCCTGATCTAGCTTTGAACTTGTGTAACTGGTCTGGCAACACAGGAGAAATGGCACGTAGGCCTACATCTCTGGCCAGCAGCATGAGGCGTTTTTATTATGCATTGTGGCTCCTCCCTTCTAAGTCCTGGTCCCTCAGTGGGATACATAGAGAAAAACTTCTCCAAAACTCAACAAGGCCCTTCTAAGGAAGTTCAGGCCAAGCTGGGATGAGGCCCTCGCTTCATCTAGAAACTAGCACTGCACGCGCAGTCCACACCGACTCCTGTCTCTGAGCTGGACTATGTCTACTCCGCCCTTGTCTGCTGCATCAACTCCACCCTTGTCTACATCATCTCCACCCTTGTCTGCATCAACTCCACCCTTGTCTGCTGCATCAACTCCACCCTTGTCTACATCAACTCCACCCTTGTCTGCATCAACTCCGCCCTTGTCTGCATCAACTCCGCCCTTGTCTGCATCAACTCCGCCCTTGTGTGCATCAACTCCACCCTTGTCTGCATCAACTCCGCCTTTGTCTACATCAACTCCACTCTTGTCTGCATCAACTCCACCCTTGTCTGCATCAACTCCACCCTTGTCTGCATCAACTCCGCCCTTGTGTGCATCAACTCCACCCTTGTCTGCATCAACTCCACCCTTGTCTGCATCAACTCCACCCTTGTCTGCATCAACCCCGCCCTTGTCTGCTGCACCAACTCCACCCTTGTCTGCATCAACTCCACCCTTGTCTACATCAACTCCACCCTTGTCTGCATCAACTCCACCCTTGTCTGCATCAACTCCACCCTTGTCTGCATCAACTCCACCCTTGTCTGCATCAACCCCGCCCTTGTCTGCTGCATCAACTCCACCCTTGTCTGCATCAACTCCACCCTTGTCTACATCATCTCCACCCTTGTCTACATCTACTCCACCCTTGTGTACATCAACTATGCCCTTGTCTGCATCAACTCCACCCTTGTCTGCTGCATCAACTCCACCCTTGTCTGCATCAACTCCACCCTGTCTGCATCAACTCCACCCTTGTCTGCATCAACTCCACCCTTGTCTGCATCAACTCCACCCTTGTCTGCATCAACTCCACCCTTGTCTACATCAACTCCACCCTTGTCTGCTGCATCAACTCCGCCCTTGTCTATATCAACTCCGCCCTTGTCTGCATCAACTCCACCCTTGTCTGCATCAACTCCACCCTTGTCTACATCAACTCCACCTTTGTCTGCACCAACTCCGCCCTTGTCTACATCAACTCCACCCTTGTCTGCTGCATCAACTCCACCTTTGTCTGCATCAACTCCACCCTTGTCTGCTGCATCAACTCCACCCTTGTCTACATCAACTCCACCCTTGTCTGCATCAACTCCGCCCTTGTCTACATCAACTCCACCCTTGTCTGCATCAACTCCACCCTTGTCTGCATCAACTCCACCCTTGTCTACATCAACTCCACCCTTGTCTGCATCAACTCCACCCTTGTCTGCATCAACTCCACCCTTGTCTGCATCAACCCCGCCCTTGTCTGCACCAACTCCACCCTTGTCTACATCAACTCCACCCTTGTCTGCACCAACTCCACCCTTGTCTGCTGCATCAACTCCGCCCTTGTCTGCATCAACTCCGCCCTTGTCTGCATCAACTCCACCCTTGTCTGCATCAACTCCACCCTTGTCTGCATCAACTCCACCCTTGTCTGCATCAACCCCACCCTTGTCTGCTGCATCAACGCCACCCTTGTCTGCTGCATCAACTCCACCCTTGTCTGCATCAACTCCGCCCTTGTCTGCATCAACTCCGCCCTTGTCTGCATCAACTCCGCCCTTGTCTGCATCAACTCCGCTCTCATCCTGCACGACCCCAATGACGATGACAACAGAGGATAAGCTCCATGTCCTCACTATAGCAGCTGATATCAATGTTGAATCTTTCTAGCCTGGCTTGTTTGAACCAGCTGGAACTGAAGCTTTTAGAATGGACAGAGCACAGCTCCTAAACATCATTGCAGAATTTACAAAATAACTGAGTCGTTTTCATGATGGGCAAGCAAGACTTTTATCTGTCATGCTGAAGCAGCAATTTTGGAAGCAATATTACTTTCTTCCTGGAAAACAACTTAGAAGCACGGGGCCCATATTTTACACTTTGAATATGTTTTCACCCTAAGGACGCGAGGCGAAAAGCACAGAAGCATGACCAGACACTGACTCAGCTTCTCCATCTCTCTAACCACAACATCCAGAGGTGGCGGCACATTTCCACAGGACAATGGACGCAAGAGACCAGTGTCCCAGGATGCTGGGGGCTTGGCCTGCTGAGCAGCGATGGAAGGAACAGCTATTCCTTACAGGGCAGTGGGGCCTGATGGGGCTGTGATGCCCCAACGAGCTGGTTGTGTAAAACAAAACTATGGAAGCCTGCTATATTCATTAAGTTTCTGCTCTCTGTGACTAATTGTTTGGCAAGACCGTAACTCAAGACGAAGGATTTATTTTGGCTCAGTGTGGTGAGACAGCCCACGATGATGGAAAAGACATGGCAGGGATGCCTCTGTGTTCCAGCATGTTTGGGATCACAAGGCAGCTGGTTAAGTAACATTAGTCAGGAAGGAGAGAGGGAGGGGGAAAGAAAGTAGGGCTTGGGTAGGAAAGGAGAGAGGGATAGAATGGACCACAAGCCCCTTAAGATCAGCCTCACAGTGTGCGATTTCCTCCAACTATACCCCACATCCTAAACGTGACCGCCCCCCCATAACAGCGCCACCTGCTGGAGACCATGTGTTCAAGCATTTCACTTACAGTATCCTTTATCTTCCACCCCCTCTCCATATGCCCAACACTGTACACAGCTAAATCATTTCCCCATGGTTTTCAGTTTCCCAGCGAAACTGGAGTAACAGAATGTGTGAGTGATTATGGGTATATACATATGGGCACATGTATATAAGTACGTATATGATTGTGGGGACCAGAGAGTCAGGCATCATACGGTGAGTTGACAGGATGGAATCCCTCTATAACTCCTATAAGCTCCTTCTCTCTCTGCTCCCTGGATGCATGAGGTAAATAGCAGTTATTAAATTCTGCCCCCCAATAGGCCCAGAAACAATGAGCCAGTCACGAGCTATGACCTCTGAAACTAAATCAAAATGACTCCTCCCTCTTTTGTTTCTCTCAAGTAGTTCGCACAGCAATGAAAACCAACTAACAGCTAGAGAGATGGCTCAGTGATTAAGAGCACATGCTGCTCTTCCTGAGGACCTAAGTTTGATTCCCAGCACCTACATCAGGTGGCTTACAGCTGCCTATAACCTCGGCCGCAAGGGGATCTGACACCTTGGACTTCTGTAGGCACTTGCATTCATGTGCACATCTGCTCCCATCACTAAAAATAATAAAAATAATTTTTAAAAAAGGGCTGGAGAGATGGCTCAGAGGTTAAGAGCACCGATTACTCTTCCAAAAGTCCTGAGTTCAATTCCCAGCAACCATATGGTGGCTCACAACCATCTGTAATGAGATATGGTGCCCTCTTCTGGTGTGCAAACATACATGCAGGCAGAACACTTTACATAATTCATAAATCAATTAAAAAAAGAAAACCAACTAGCACAGTGACCCAGTCACACTGACAGATAAAAGAGTAAGTGTCACACAATACGACACTTGGCAGGGAGACAGTGGGCGGTAGTCTGTGGGGGAGCTCCTGAGGAGGCTGAGGTGGTATGTCCCGCTGCCTCGCCTTCATCTCCTCACCCAGAAGGTGGGCATGGAGGCAGAGACACCTTAGCTTAGGGGGAATGGCCAGAGACTCTCAAAGATCCGAGTCCAGCATCCTGCGGCCACACACACACACACACACACACACACACACACACACACACACACACACACACCCGACTTCCTCCTCTTTAGCTGCAACAGCACCGTGTAGTGTTCTCACCTCTGTTCCTCAGTCTCTGACTTGTGACCAGGGTTCCTGGGGAGTTCCCGCCTTTGCCGTTTTGGTCTAAACCTTCTAGAGTTTGTCTGCCAGAATTCACTAACTCTGATCCCCGGTTTACTTAATCCCTTGTTATGCCTTCCGGGTCGCCCCGGTGTCATTTGTTTCCCTAGAGGCATCACCAACATGAGGTGCAGGCCAAGTGTGGGGGGTGTGGCTAGGGGTTGCACCACCGAGTATGGGGAGACGACTAGATATTATGCTGACGATCAGCTCCTGCGAGGGTGGACTTGGACCCCGCTTTCCCAGCCCTGGCACCACCTAGGTGCCGGTTCACGGGGAACTGCTACCCTCTACTGGACGAAGTGAAATCTACTTCCCACAAGTTAACTGACCTTCAGTGAGGGTAGGAAGAGTCCAGAGGCAGGCAGGTCTTGGTGCCCTGATTGTTCACGCGGTAAGACAGAGGCTAGAGAGGGGAAGGATGTCATTTAAGGTTTCATGAAAGTTGGAGGGGAGTCTGGGGCTAGAAACGGAATACCGGCCCTTCCACACAAGGGGTGGGTAGCATCCCTTAGGATTCCTCAAGTGTGGCAGGCTTAGGATCCCAGGCCTCGGTGCCCGAGGAGGTAGCACACTCCTTCTTAGCCTGCAGGACAGACCACCAGGAGAAGGAGGGACAAAGAGGTTCTGGCCACTTACCTCCTACTGGGGATAGAAAAAAGTTGGTACTTCTGACCCAGGTGAGTGCTCTAACCAGGACCAGCCGTCAGCCCACCCTCTGAGGACAACTGTCCCCAGAAAGCTGTCTGTAGACAGGTCTTCTGTAGGTCCAGCCATCTCTACACCTCCTCCCTTCTCGTGTGTCCTACACACAGTTGTAGCTCTTATCACCAACATCACACATGGCTACAGGCTGTGATCTAGTAGTCACCAGGCTGCTCCAGTGATCGCCTCACGTGGCCAAGGGTGTCTTTCCACTCCTGTCAGCAGTTCCCAGAGCTCACTGGAAAGAGGAGGGAACACGCTTTGCTTCAAAGTGTCATAGGGAACCCAGGTCCGGCCGTCTGTAATACACGGTGTCCACAGGTGTCTGGGGATAGGGATGGAAACAGCAGAACCAGAAGAAGCCTGGAGGGTGGCACGTGACAGTTTTTGTGGGCCAGGTTGGGAAATGGTGAATTGCACCCGGTCATGTTCATTGTCTAGAACTCAAGTGTCAAGAAGGCCCACCAGCTAATTATTGACCTGGTGGTTGAATTAGCACCACAATAATATATCTTACAGATTTCCTATTGCAGAGTTCAGTGACTGAGGACCCCACTGCCTGCCGTGTCATGAGGCCCAAGATGGAAGTTTGCCCTTACTGTGCCAACTCCAGCTCCCTGATGATGTCTGAATGCAAGGGACACCAGGAGCCAGGAGACTCCTGTTTTGCCAACTTTGGTTTAAGAACCAGCCCGCCCCCATGGTTTTGCTAAACCTTCCTTAGACTGTGTGCTGGGCTCCCACCGTGTCTCCCTCTTTCCTTCACCCATGCCCAGGCTGTGTTGTGATGTGGTGGCTCTCTCGTCCAAGCTGTTTCCCTCCCTATTTCCTTTCACGTAGGAGCAGCCCCAACACAGACGTCTGTCATAGCACCTGCACATGGAGAAGTCAGTGTCACACAGGAGACACACCCTGGTGTTCTGGGTCCTCTGACTCTAGTTGGGGTCATCTAGGACAGTGGCAAAGTTGCACATAAGACTTAGACAAGATGTCCTGGGAAAACACAGAAATCCCTAATTTCCTCTTTTCATCCACTGGAAACTCCAAAAGGCAGACTGAGGGTGCCATAAGAAAATTTGACATGCAGACTAAAAAGAGCAAGGAAAATGAAATGAAAGGTGCAACTCAGGGCTGGAGAGATGGCTCAGAGGTTAAGAGCACTGACTGCTCTTCCAGGGGTCCTGAGTTCAATTCCCAGCAACCACATGGTGGTTCACAACCATCTACAATTCCATCAGTTGTCCTCTTCTGGCATGTAGGCAGAAAACTGTATATGTAATAAATAAATAAATCTTTTTAAAAAAGAAAAAGAGCCGGTCGATGGTAGCGCACACCTTTAATCCCAGCACTCGGGAGGCAGAGGCAGGCGGATCTCTGTGAGTTCGAAGCCAGCCTGGTCTACAGAGCGAGTTCCAGGACAGCTTCTGAAACAATACAGAGAAACCCTGTCTCGAAAAACAAATAAATAAATAAATAAATAAATAAATAAATAAATAAATGAAAAAGAAAGGTGCAACTCAGAGGCAGCATCTGTGAGGCAGAACAGGAGAATGGCCAGGCTAGGCAATGGCTGAATTGCTGACGTTTCCTGGAAAGAAGAAAGTGGACAGCAGAGGGAGCAAGAACTCAGAGAGCTGGAAGAAAGCAGGGGTGGGGGTGGGGGAGTCTGCCCGAGGCCTCCAGCACCACAGGGCTGAGAAAAGCCTCTCAAGCAGCAAGGGGAGGGTGTAGGAATAAGACCCATCAGCCCCAGTGGTGCTCCAGCAGCGATGGAGATGCTTTGGTCCCAGGGTCAGCTGAGGGCTTCTCTGCCAGCAACAAAGGAGTGCCAGAAGGGGCGTCTTCCTCAAGAGACGGCATGCGCTAGAGATTTTATTAATTATTCGTTTAAATTTGAGACACGGTCTCACACAGGCAGTCAGTCTTCAGGTGATCCTTTCTCGCTCTCCTGAGTGCTGGTGTTACAGGGGTGCATCACATGCCTAGTTTTATTCAGTCAGTACTGGGGACTAGTGCTAAGGTTCTGTGCATGCTAGGTGTCCTAGCTAGGTTTTTGGTGCTGTTAAAAATCAATAACAAGTGCCAGCCTACAATCCCATGGCCAGAGAGTCTGGGAAGCAGAACCTTCATTCAGTGGCTGATGGAGGCAGAGGCAGACTCCCTCGGTTAAGCACTGAGCTGAATTTAAGAAAGCCAGTAACAGAGAGGGAGGACTGATGACCAAAGGGATTAAGACTGGGCTGGTTTATCCTCCAGAAACAGCTGACCTGACAAGGGTTAACTCTTGAATCCCAGGCTGATGCCTGGGAATCCAGCATGGGGCTGATCAAGACCCCTGAATGTGGGTGTCAGTGAGGAGGCTTGGTAATCTATTGAGCCTTGGGCAGTAGATCAGTATTTATCCCGAGTATACACATGGACTTTGGACTCCCATCCAACAATGAGAGATGCACTCTCACTCTGGACTCTCAGGGGAGGGTCTAGGCCCTGACCTGGATGAAATGACAGACTATGGACACCCCCAAGGAGGGCCTCACCCTCCCTGGGGATATGAGGGGATATTGGAGGGGTTAGGGGGAGGGCACGGGAGGAGGGGAGGGAAACGGAGAGGGACCTGGAACTGACTTGTGAAGCAACCTTGTTTCTAACCTAAATTTAAACTGAAAAATAAATAATAAAAAATAAAAAAATTTAAAAACAATGACAAAACTGATCTATATCTCCAGCCCCCCACTCCCCCCCCCCGTCTCAAACACACACACACACAAACACACAACATGGCCCTGGTACTGATGCACTGCTGGCCTTGAACTTGTTATTCTCCTGTCTTGGCCTCACAAGTGTTGGGATAACTGGTGTGTGCTACCAAACGCAAGCACCTGAGAGCTAGGGCACCTGGAGAGGTGTGTGGTAAGGACTGGGAAGGCCTCCCTGTCAGCAGAGTCCATTCTCAAGGCAGCACCAGGATTCTAGAAACTCAGAGCCCAAAGAGGAGATGCAAATGAAGGGAAGACACTCTGTGGGTTGGACATGAAGTGTCCCCTGCAAAAGGCCGAGGTATTGAAGGCCTGACCTCTGACTAAAAGCAGTGTTCAGGGATGGCTTTTGTTCTGACTTCACCAATGAGTTAACCCGTCGATAGACTCTACATTTGATGTTATCATTGGGTAGGCTCTGCTTGGAGGAAGTAGCTAACCAGGACATGCCTTTGAAGTATGTATCTTTTTGCCCTAACCAACAGGGCACGACAGGTTTGAGCCCACGGGAACCTGGAATGAATGAGACAAGAAACACGAGAGAGATGACCAGCAAGACAGACTTTCTTGCTGCTGTTCAATGAGAATTTTGTACAGGCTTAAATAGGGGAACATGGCATTGGCCATGGGGCAGAGGTTGTTAGATGGGAGACACTGGGAGCGTTTGATTTGCGAGAGAGCAGGAGATCTCACCAGGGAGTATAGGTGTTAGCAAAGCATTGTTAAGTGATGGGTTATCTCTATGGAACTGGGCCTTCCTTAGGAAGGCGCCAGAGTTTTGGGAAGTGCCTTAGGGTAAGAAGTAGATCCAGTAGCCTGGTCCAAAAGATGGATCAACATCTTTTCCCTTCTCCCCTGTCTCTAAGTCATTCTCTTGTCTTCCTGCCTGCCATTGAAAGTAAACCGCCTTTTACTCCACACATTTCTGACACTAGGATGCTCAGCCTCACCTCAGACCCAGGTGACCATGGATCAACACCTCAGAAACAGCGAGCCACACACAGGGAATCTTCCTTCTGTTAAAGCATTTCTCTTGGGTGTTTTCCACAGTGACAAAATATTTAGTGGAACACATTCAAAAGAGACTGAAGCACCAGGGCTTCTCCTACTGCTATGGTGACATTGGGTGAGGAGTCAGCAAGACAGGAGATGCTAACCATTCACTGTTGCCATCTGCTTTCCAGGCACCCTTTGAGACATGCATGTGAATATGCCAGCTGCCTTGGAGATGTATAGGATGGCTGATGGTCAGTGGTTCTCTTTACAAGTGACTCGGTCAATGGCTGGTAATACTTTTTTGATGT